CACACACACACACACACACACACACACACACACACACACACACACACGGAGAGGGAGAGAGGGAGAGAGAGAGCTGCATGCTTTTATTCTGCTTAATTTCAGAAAACTTAGTTCGGCCAAATACCACAGTGGCTGAGGGCAAAAATAAAGGGGAAAGCATACTATTTGGGAATTAGAATATCTAGGAAACAATAAATAGAGATATCAGATCATAGAAGCAATAGACAGAATGGTATTTCATACATATTTATACAGGGATCTCATCTAATCATCTCCAAAAATAATCACCTCTAAAAATATTTCTAGCAGAAAATCCTTGATTTGAAAAGGAGCAATCCTTTTGAAATCTCAGTGACTAAATGAAAGCAAAGATAGCTGGGAGGGCCAATGTATTACCTAAAGAGCTTTTCATTGTGATATATTTATTCTTCTCTTTTTTGTGTGCATGTACTCTTTTCTGTGTGTAAGTATTCCATGTGTATGCATTTTTCCTGCTTGAAGACTAACAACATAATAACACAATAATAACAAATAATGAGATGATTTATTCTTCCAAGTAAACTATTGTGATTTTTACAAAACCTTGTGCAAATATTTATTTTACTTTTAGATAAAAGCAATCTTGCTTTCCATTTCCTAAGAACATAAATACCAAATATTACTATGTTAGTTAACTCATTTTTGCCTATTCAGTAGGGAAGTAGGCAATAGCGTACTTTCCCAATTTTATTCTGTCTTGCTTGCTTTCAGATGGGTCAGACTGGAGAGAATGAAGAGTGGTTGCTCATCCACCAGCTTTCTAATGAACCAGAAGCTCGGTCCATGGAGGTCCCCAATCTCAATCCCTACACATATTATACGTGAGTCAAGTGAAGAAGGAAAAAGCTAAAAAATTTCATCCGTCACTGGAAGGAGACCTCATCCATCACTGGAAAGAGATGTGATTTGCAGCAATAGATTACTGAAATGCATTCTTTGCCCATAGTTTCATTAGAATTTTTTATGATCAAAATGTTGGGAGTTGTTCTACTTACAACATAATTTTTCAGGTCCTTGTTTTTTTAACACTTGTATATATTTATATTTTATTCTGTTAATTGGTTTAATGTAATACAGTTATTTTTTTAAAAAAAATTAAATGGTATAAAAAGGGAAAGATGCTGATCCCAATCAAGCTACATATTGTTGTATTACTGTAGTTGCATAGGGAAAGAAAGGCAAGGGTGGTGATGGCAATGGAGACAACAGCAAGGATGGTGATGATGACAGTGATGATGAGAATATAAAGAAGAGGAAGATCAAAATCAATCTTTTCATAAAGCCCAGTCAGAACTAAGCAAAAAAAAACCCAAATAGGGTTCAAGACAAAAACCGTTCTGATGCTTCCTGAAATTCATCTTGATACCACCAAACATGGAGGTTCCATAAGAAAACGATGGCTAAAGCCTGTGGATAGACCTATTCTCCATTAAAGTTTTCTTGGAAAACCCAACACACACAATTTAGAACATGTAGCCCAATCCCCACATAATATCTTTTTTGCTTCAGATATGGGCTTTATGAAAACACACCTGTAGGCAGGGGTGCGATTCAACTTGTGTAACAACTGGTTCGGTGAGCATGTGCTTCGCACGCATGCAGAACGTTTGCCACTGACCTCCAGCAATCTCTGTGTGTTAAACAGCTGATGCGTGGCAATCAGCTGTGCCATGCGAATCAGCTGAACTTGAAAACCAGGATATAAAGCATAGACTAGAGACGGGGTGGGTGAGTGGGCCCAACAGCTGATCGTCGGAGCAAACCGGTTCACTCACAGCTGATCCTCGGAGCTACCAGTTCAGCCGAACCAGGCCAAACCAGTAGAATCCAACCCCTGCTTGTAGGGCATTACATATTTGTATGTTCTTTTTTTTTTTAAAAAACAAGTTTTATTAATTTTTAAAACACACAAATTATCATTATTCATTACATGTTTAAACCTTTTTCCCTTGTAAATTTAACAAGTCAGATAAATTATGATTCTGTTTTAAACCATTTCCATATAATATACCAAAACCTCTTATTCAATTTCTCTTTACTTCTCTTTACTCTTATTCAATATCATTATTATTATTTCATCTGTTTCTTTCTGACTTAATTACCATTATTCTCATTCTATATTTCTACAAGTTTTTACCAATTCTCCCCCCAAAAAAGACATATACACACAACACACAAAACATAAAAAAAATATCTTTTTGGAAAGTAACTTGGACCCAGGTGTCTCTCTCTTCATGGACTTCAATTATATTCATGCTCATCTTACATATCATTACTTATTTTATTTACCATTCTAAGCCTTCTATATTAACTTCTCCACATATTTCACACTTCTTAATTCTACCTTAATTAATCATCTTAGTTTAAATCATTATTTTTGTATCTTTTGTCCATTTTTTATCATCCCTTTGTCTTATTCTTTATAAAAAAAAAAGAAAATCAGTTTCTCCTGAAATCATTAATCAGAGTATGATGCCTTTCTATCTCCCCCCTAAGTTAATCAAATTAATCTTTAAAATAATATCTAATACCCAATCAGATTTTGCTTGGTACATTCTATCTAACTAATACATCCAACACAATTAAGTGCATAATTAGACAATAAATCCAAATATTAAAAAAAAATACTATAATAAAAATTTTATAATAACATCAATACCATAATTTTATTAAACTCTTTAATTAAAACAATATTCTAAACCTCTCCTATTATTAAGTTTTAAAACCAATCATTTTTAAACATTTTAACATTTTAATCTCTTATCAACTCTTAAACCATTGCAATACTACCATCTCATCTTATGTACCTTGCAAAATCTTTTTTTTTTTTTTAAATTATACTTTATCCATTATCCATAAAAAATTCCTTTTTTCCATTTAATTTCAAAACGTTGTAGCTTTTCTCCACCTTTTCCCTTTCTTTCTTTTCCCAACAAACCTTTCTACCCCCCCTTCTTCTAGCCTCTGCCTTACCGGCTTCCCTTCTCTGTCGTATTTCTTTTCCCCTTTGTTTACAATCATCATATTGGTTTTGCACTTTATTTTTCCCTTTCTTAAATGTTTTTTTAGATCTTAAGTCCTTAAATCCTTTAGTTTTCTTCTTTTCTCTTCTTTTCTTTTCTTTCTCTCTTCCTTTTTTCTGGATCAAATTCTGAGATTCATTAAAGATGGCTCCTTCCTTTCTTTCTTGTTCCTCTGCTGTCATCATCTGTTGTAATTTTTGTTGATAATTAGTAAGCGCCATTTCTAAGAAAAGGAAAGCTTCTTCCACACCATTTCTTAGTTCCTCAACAGAAAGAGCCATTATAAATCTTTTCTTTTCTTTTCTCCTTCTTTCTTCTTACAACAACCAGAATATTCAAAAGAAAATAAAAAAGATAAAACAGTCCCAAAGTTATCAATCAGTCCAAACCAAGGCAGAGTTCTCACTTTCTCCTTCTGGGGTGATATCAATCAAAGAGAAAGAAAGTCCAAATCTGTTTAAAGTCTTGTTACAGTATATTCTAGTCTTCAAATCCTTAAGGCATCTGCTCCAACAAATCTTAGCATACAAATATTTTCTTTTTAATCCTCTCTCTTCCCACTCATCGCTTAAAACCAATTTCCACCTAAAAAAATAGGTTTCTTAATATCCAGTTATTTATTCCGTAGGAAAAGAGGGTAAGCTATCCTTTCAGCACCATCAAACAGCCGCTTTTTTCCTCTTCTGGCAGGTATTATTCAGAAAGTCATACTTTTCAGGAATTTTATTAAATATGTCTTAGAGTCCTAGGAGCCAAGAAAAACTTTCTCCTCTCAATCACTTTCTCCACTTCCTCCTGCGCATTCTTACCCGGCTGCCAGCTTCTTTGTGGCGGCCATTACGGACCGCCGCTGCACCGTCCTGGGAAAAGGGGGTTCTGCCGGCCAGGGAGGGGGTCTGCAGCACCCCCAAACCCTTCTCCGGATCCCCCCTACCTTCAGCTGCCCCTGCAGGGCAGCCTAGCTCCGTACCCGGCTGGGTCGGAGCCCCAAAAACGGCTAGCGCGGCAGGGATCGCGCAGCTTCGCAAATCCCTGCCGCTCGCGAAGCCGACAAACCGGAAGTCCACATATTTGTATGTTCTTACATATTACATATTGTGGCTCCTGCACTGAAATTAAGAGGAACAGGGGGGGAAATAAAGCAAAAGGCAGCCAAAGGCATGTGAATGTGGAAGTTCAAAATCTTGGACGATTTGCTGTGTTCTTCTCCCTTCCAACATTAATCCATTTCCTCTCTGGCGCCAGTTTCCGGATGCGACAAGTGAACATTGTGGGGACAAGTCCACCCAGTCTAGCTTCCCGCAGGATCCAGACATTGCAGGCTCCACCTGATGTATCTCCTGCCAATATTACAGTACGAACAGCCAGTGAAACCAGCCTCTGGCTACGATGGATGGTGAGAAATGTAGTCTAAGGAGGCCCTATAATTGTTTCTAGAGGGGGGAAAAAGCAGACTACAACAAAGCAGGGGAGAAGGGGCAAATCCCAGCAGGCTGGCCACCCTTACTAATGAGCCAGACAAACTTCAGTAGTTTGTTCCAGTAGTAAATTTGAATTCAAGGTTAGTAGAGAGATTCCTATGAAGCTAAGAATACATTGAGGCTGAATCAGAAACTGGCGATATTGCTATAGTGAAATATTGAGCAATTGAAATACAGCTTCACCCTTTCTGTCATTTATCATGCTATGGTAAAATAGAGGATTCTGGAAATACAGGGAAGGAAAGGGATGGGGTATTGGGCAGTAAGCAAGGGAAGAACTAAGTGGTGGAAAATGAAGCATAGATCAAAGTCAGAAGGAGGAGTGTTGAAGGGGTATCATTGGCTGTTCTTCCTTCACTCCCATGCTAGATATTTTTGGAGGTAGAAGACTTCAGCTGAGACACCAGCTTGAATAAGGCTTAATTTTGAATCAACACATATACATTTACCCATGTCCCATTTCCTTCAGTCAAAATTATAATTTCCTCATGCCATAAAATTCTTGCCGCCCCTAACAAGAATTTTAAGACCAGCCCTTGTCTAAGACTGAGAGGCTACCAAATTAAATTCAGTGAAAGAATTAAGGTTTCAGTTATGTCAGAAGTCTAATGTGGTGACTTTATGGATATATTCATGTACTTTTCTTGATGGAAATGACTGTTATGGAAATGGCTAGTAACCACTTTTGCCAAAATGTTTTTGAATTTCCCGGTCTAGCCAAGGAGATCTCACATCGAAATACTAACATGCAAAACGTTTGCCACTGAACTTTCCTTGGCTCTTCTTGGAATGATATGATACGATCAGACAGATGCTACCATCCGCTGAGACTATATTGGAAGTTCTTAAGTCCAAATCAGAAACTTTTAGCAATATCTGTATTGGAGGTAGCAGACTTCAGAAGTTAGATGGCTTTCTATTAAGCACAAGAATTAGGATTCAAAACCTTATGGTTCAAATTTATTATTCCATATGCATTCCTTATGAGACAAAAAAGGAAACTTCTCTCTTTTTCATGCATTCTGATTTTTTTTTTTAATGAACTTGCTGGAAGCCCATTTTCTGTATTTATCATTTCAATTGAAGAAAGTTACAAGGCAATTTTAAATAATGAAATTTGGCCATTTGTACATAAAAGTCGCAGCCTCTAAGGTAGCCTTTGAAACTGTACCTGTTTTACAAAGGCTAGGAGCTCTTCAGTTGAGTAGGGAAGATGTTGCCCTGTTTGATGTAGCCATTCTAGAGAAGAATAGAATGCCGGCCAATAGTAATGGGCCAACTCTTTCCTCAGCCACTGCCAGAGAGTGAATACAATGGCAGCCCTGAGTCGGTGGGCTACCGGTTGCGCTACTCACGCCTGGATGGGCGCAGCCACACGCTGACCAACACCATCCATGACCGTGTGGAGCGCGAGTTCACCATTGAGGACCTGGAGGAATGGACCGAGTACCGTATACAGGTGCAGGCCTTCAATGCTGTTGGGCCTGGGCCATGGAGTCAGACTGTGGTGGGGCGAACCCGAGAGTCAGGTATTCCTTTCCACTCCAGCTATTTAAGACAATCTGGTAGGCTTATCACTGCCTGCTTGGAATTTAACACGTGAGGTTCTGGACCATGTAGCAATGTGTATTTTGCCTGTATTTTCTGTGTATGCAGTGCCTTCATCTGGACCCACCAATATTTCAGCACTAGCTACCACTTCTACCTCTATGCTAGTGCGGTGGAATGACATCCCTGAAGCGGATCGAAATGGATTTATCCTAGGCTACAAGGTATTAAACATACAGAACTTGATTTGGTAATCCTTTCCTACTTGCTTTCTCTTGTGCCTTACTGCCAAGACCTGACTGAAAGCATCATATTCCTCCACACCTAATCTTATTCTCTTTCTTCCAGCTTGATCCTGAATCTGTACTTGCAGACCCTGCTATTGTAGAGGAATCCTTAGTGAACCTTTTTATTTTCAGTCTTTAATTATTGTGTTCCCACAAAATAGCCTTGTTTCTTTCCTCCTCCTCCTCATTCCCCTCCCCCCTCAAATTCTATTTCATGGCATGCCTTACTCTTATCCAGGGCTCTCACTCCATCAATTTTACAGGAACGAATGCCTGTTAATAATGGTCCCCTGATTAGCACTGGGGGAAACGGGAATGTTTGCCTTTATTTTTATCACTGGTGCATCTATCTGCATAGTGGCAGATAGGAAAGCGCTCCAGAGGATTAATGTCATTGCCCAGAGGATCATTGGTTGCCCTCTCCCCTCTTTGGAAGAGCTTTATAGTTCCCGCTGCCTTAAGAAAGTTCAAAACATTCTCAAAGATCCATCTCATCCTGGGAACCCTTTTTTTGAACTATTAGCATCTGGCAGACGGTGCAGAATAATAAAAACAAGGACAAATAGGCTGAAAAACAGCTTCTATCCCAGGGCAGTAGCTCTTTTGAATTCTGCTGTATAGTGCAGTGTTGGTGCGGTGTTGGGGGTTTCCAGTTCAATGTGTGGAGGGTGAAGGATGTGTGTTTGTGTTTATTTTCATGGTCATGATTTTGCACTGAAGATGGTGCTTGATTCCGTTGTACGAGGTGCAATGACAATAAACTAAACTAAACTAAACAATTCTCTTCCAGATCATGTATAAGGAAAAGGATTCAGATTCCAGGGCCCAGTTCTGGTTAGTGGAAGGCAATGCTTCTCGGAGTGCCCAGCTCATAGGCTTGGGAAAATATGTCCTTTATGAGATCCGGGTGCTTGCTTTCACCCGCATTGGTGATGGTGTGCCCAGCAATCCACCTATACTTGAGCGCACACTGGATGATGGTAGGCATCCCATAACTCTCTGTCTCCTAACTATACTTACTTTTAAAAAAGATTAGCAACCAAACATCAACACCATCTTCATTTAGAATATTCAACAATTCAAGCCCTAATCATACCCTTTCTCTAAATTATTAAACATACAATAAACTTCCTTTTGCATCCTTTGTGCATTTCTCAGTGATCTGCCGAAGAGTACAATTTTCCTTCACCTCTCTGCATGTCCTCCATTAACTTCATTTTACATCCTTGTAATATTAACTGGGTTCCATCCCACCTAGCACGTTGCGATTTTTGAACCCAACAGACAGCTTGGACTTCTGTCAAGTGCATTGTCACTATCATTATAAACTCTTGATCCTGCATTATAAGCAACTCCCCATCCCAACACCCTGAGTCATGTTCCCCTAAAAAAACAATACAGATATTAGTCTCAGGTAGCATCGATTGTGTGTATCTGTGCTTGTATGTGCATTTCAGTCACAGCCTGTATGGATAAATAAACATATACCTGAATCACTCAACCTAATCTTCCATTGTCCTTTGCCTTGATGTATTCCAGTGCCGGGGCCACCGGTGGGCATTCTCTTCCCTGAAGTGAGAATAACTTCTGTACGGCTAATCTGGCAGCCTCCTGCTGCTCCCAATGGTATTATTCTAGGTAAGACACTGTAGTCCAGAGTGAGCTGAATTCTTTAGCTTCTCCCATTTTTGTTTTTCTGAAGAGCAAACAGGGCCACAAAAAAATTGTGGCGGGGTGAAAAAAGGGAAACCAACATCAAACCTCTGGGCCAGACTCTTGTTCTGTGATTACTCCCATGATTGCAATCTATTTCCATTGGAAGAGTTATTTCTTCATCTGCCCAAAGACAGCTACATAGGACAGTATTCCTTTTTGCAGAACATTTTCTTGTTGTTGTTGTTGTTGTTGTTGTGCCATATCTGTCATTGGACATTGATTGATGATCCTATTTTTAACAACAGCCGCACGAAAAAGTGCTGTTGAGTTTTATCCAAACCAAACCCTTGGATTTTGAAGCCATGATGTTCTTCTTCTGTCTGGACCTCAGTTTTTTACCCAGTCCTGTTCTGACTCCGTTGCAGCATACCAGATCACTTACCGCCTCAACACTACAACTGCCAATTCAGCCAATGTAGAAGTCCTCAGCCCCAGCGCACGGCAGTTTACTGCTACCAACCTCAGACCCGAGTCCACCTATCTCTTCCGTATCACAGCGCAGACCCGAAAGGGCTGGGGTGAAGCTGCAGAGGCCTTAGTAGTCACAACGGAAAAAAGAGGTAATTAGGGTGGTGGGATATAAGTCGAGCCCGAATTGCATTGTGACAAAAATTAGGTATGTCTTCCCAGTGAATCTATTTTTGTTCCTGAGGATGTTAACACCATAAAATGTTACAGGTGCACTCCCAGGTTTGACATATGGTCATTCAATCAACACACTCACAGCCCTGGTCAACAGCCACACTCAAATCACTTTCGGCACAACACCGAGGCACAACCAGTTCTTTGGAATACATGGAGAACCAGTGAATTTAAAGTAACAGCAAAACTTTATTGATTACAATGTGCATTTGCGTGCTCTCTCTGTGTCATTGTCTCTTGTCTCTCTCTTACACACGCATGCACACACACACACAGACCGAGCATCCTTCTCAATTAGGCTGTCAGTTACTATTCAGAGGGACAATAGCTGCCAAGTCTGGATTCAAAGGAGACTCAAAGAGTGGGCAGGCTTCAGGACCCCTTTTGTCTCCAAAAGTCCTTGCTTTGTAGATTCACAAGATTGGCAGCTATTCTTGCCTTATTGAATAGGTTTGGTAACTGTTGATGGGACTTGGGGAAGGTTTTCACATGTGCTCAGGCCCAACTTCTTTTGTCTGGTTTGGGTGACTTTTTCCCCCCCTTTGTTTCCTTAACAACCTGGTTCATTCTTGTCTATCTCTTGAAGGGATATTTCAAAGAAGATTCCTAGCTTTTATGCATCCTGCTTACATGATTTTTTTTAATCTTTAGGTGTGGTAGCTTTTACCTAGGCTCACGAGGACTATATTAAAAATTATCTTAAGGCAGTGTATGTCTGAGTAGCAAATTGGTATTTCAATTAATCCTTTTATTTTCAGCCATTTTTTTTACTCGACATTTCCTTTCCTTATACCACTTCCCACAAATCACTATTCATTTTCTTCAAAGACAGAAGAGCTACGTATAAATTCCATTTCTGTGCATGGAAGACACCTTGAGAGAAGGGAGGTGTTGTTGGACAGATAAATACCTCAAGGAAGGAAGGAAGGAAGGAAGGAAGGCATAGCTCAAGATGAAAAGAGAGAAAGAAGCAACGTTTCATTTTTTCCCCTTGCTTTAAAGTTTCAGCCTTTGGAGGTTATCTTCAATAAGTGAAGACTGATGTCCAATTGGGCCTTAAGCCTTCAATTTAATTCTGCAAAATGTTTCTGCTTTTAAGGATTTCCTGACAAATTAGAAGGTTAGCCTTCAGGAGATCTACATGTGAGTGGCTGTCTCTTAAGTAACAGGTGCAGGCAAACATTAGTATTCCACAAGAAAGCAAACCAAAATTCTCTGGGTTCAGCACTGATAACAATCCATTAAGCAGATGATTAAAAAAAATATGAATGGGTAATTTGTATATTACAAATCAGATTCTTATTAAGGCATTTGCAGACAACGGCAATAAATTATCAATTATTACTGAAAACCCATCAGTCTTTCTTCTAATAATGAGCCTCTTTTCAAGGAAAACTCATTTTCTTTCAGACTCCAGGAAAAATATGCCCCAGGTGCTCATCTTTTAAGAACTGTAGTAGGAGTAAAAGCTTTATAGAATATCAATGGCCATATATCAAAGGCATTCATTTAATAGGCCTGTAGTATTGTTAACGATGATTGAACTGATCATCATTTCTCTACATTAATTTTGTTAATATTTTCTCATTCTTCTTACTTAAGCAGTTGAACGAACTCTGCTGCACCTTATAAGCAAAGGGTTCTTTGTGAAACTCATTATGAATTTTTTTAAAAAACCACCCAAATTGTTATGGATAGTCCTCAACTTACAACAATTCATTTAGTCACCATTTGAAGTTAGAACGGCACTGAGAAAAAGTGGTTTTAGACCAGTTTTCACACTTATGACCATTGCACCATCCCCATGGTCACACGATCAAAATGTAGCCACTTGGCAACTGGCATGTATTTATAATGGTTGCACAGTCCTGGGATCATGTGATCCCTTTTTGCAACCTTCTGACAAGTAAAGTCAATGGGGAAGCCAGATTTACTTAACAACCATGTTACTTAACAACTACAGCGATTCACTTAACAATTGCAATGATTCGCTTAACAATTATGGCAAGAAAGGTTGTAAAATGGTTCAAAACCCACTATCTTGCCTAACAGTGGAAATTTTGGGCTCAGTTTTGGTCATGAGTCAAGCACTGCCTGTATTACTCCGTGCCTTTTGTTTATTAATCCTGAAACCTTGTCAACTATGCTCTGCTTTCAGAATGGTCATCCAGACCCCTCTGTTTTCATAGAGTTAATACACTGTGCTTTCTTTTTTTTATTTTAAGGAGGGGTGTTGGAAGCATCATTATAAACTGTAAGACTGGACAGATCATCTGTGATCGCACAGAAGCAACATTTTAAAATGGGAAACTAGGGTTTGTAGGAAACCAGTGAATATACTAGACATCAAAACCAATTAGATAATGTTTGAGATGGAGTACAGAAGGAAAAGATACATGTTTAGATTAATAAAGGATCAGGATTCCTGTTTGCATTGTACCAACCTGAAAATAATCTCCGGCCTAGCCACCCATCATTGCCATGTCTCTTTTTCATGCACTGAAAAAACAGCTTTCAGTGATCTGTCTCTGTCTTATCTCCCAGACCGTCCGCAACCACCCAGCAAGCCCACTGTGTTGCAGGAAGATGTCAAGGCCAGGAACGTGCTGTTGTCCTGGGAGCCAGGCAGTGATGGGCTCTCACCTGTCCGATACTATACTGTGCAAACACGAGAACTCCCTGATGGGAAATGGGTGTTGCATTCTGCGTCGGTAAAGCACAACACCACATCCTTCATTGTGAACAGGTGAGGCAGGAACTGATGCAATGCAAGAGACATTTATTTAGAAGGGGAAACAGTTGTTCAGTGTTCCAATTTGTCAGACTGTTGCTAGCCAAATAATCTTAAGACTGTATACAGGTAAACCTTGACTGACAATGGTTGTTCAACAACCACTCAAATTTACAGTGGCCCTGAAAAAAGTGACTGGTCCTCACACTTACAAATGTCTCAGCATTCTCCATGGTCACGTGATCAGAATTCAAGCACTTGGCAACCAGCACAACTGCAGTGTCACAGATGTCAACTCCCAACAGAGTCATGGGATTGCCGCTTGTGACCTTCACCAGACAGCTTCTGACAAGCAAAGCCAATCGGGGAAGATTTGATTAACGACCATTTGATTCACTTAAAAATGGCAGTGATTTGCTTAACAACTGTGGCCAAAAAGGTCATAAAATCGGGGTGGGACTCACTTAATTGCCTTACTTAGCAACATAAATTCTGCTCCTAATTGGTCATAAGTCAAGGACTCCATGTAAAGGGTGGCCTCCCAGTCTGAACTCAATGTTCATAAATTACTCTTAAGTGTGGAAACAGGACTAAATATGTTGAATCCCACAGCTACATCCAGAATGCTTTTCCAAAGACCTTAGGAAGAATTTGCTGGTCTTGGGACAAAAAAACAAAACAAAAAAACCCCCAAAGTTAGAATGTAGGTCTTAGCAGGCAGAAGACAGCCAACACACATGGGAATTTTTTTTCTTCCAAAACCAAACCAGATAACCCTGCATTCTATTTGCAGATTGAAGCCATTCACCACCTACAAATTCCGGGTCAAGGCAACCAATGACATCGGTGACAGTGAATACAGTGAAGAGTCAGAATCGCTCACCACACTGCAGGCTGGTATGCAAACATGCAAGGTCATGAATTACTACCCAGTGTAAAACCTTTTTCTTCCAATCTTGAGAAGAGAATTATAAAAGGTAATATGAACTCAGTGAGGGCATCGTTGCATTCCTGGGAACCCCGATTATCTTTCGCATAGGCTGTCTGAAAAGATCTCATCTTCAAAATCTACTAGCTCTACAACTAGACAAAAGAAACAAAACAAAACCAGGTCTAAGAAGGAATAAAGAAGGGGGGTTGCCCCTTTTCTACTATCTGGTTTCCCACTTGTATAATAACCCATCTCATATCAAACCCCTATTCAGATCCACTGCTATCTTTTCCTTGTTGTAGATTTATTTCTTAAGTTTTATTGGTAATGGCCTTGTTTGTGTTAGATTATAAAAGAAGAAGCCATAGATAAAGCTGGCTATTGTGGGAGGAAAACTTTCTGCTGTGACAAACCGAGCAGGTTGATACAGCTGGGACTCTGTTAAAACAATAGTGTTGGGCATAATTAAGACAAGCAATAGAGTTATAATAGAAACTGAAAATAGAAAATATAATGGAAGAAGCCATAGATAAAGCTATAAACTAATGAAGAGAATGATCAGCCGAAGGAACGAGGGTTCCTTAACAAATTAAGAGAGGCATACAGTAGATGAGGCTGTAAAAAAAAAAAAAGCCATGATGAACCTGTTACAAGTGGATCAGTGGTGGCATTCTACCGGTTCGGCCCGGTTCTGGCGAGCCAGTAGTGGAGATGAGCAGCGGAGACCGAACCGATTCTCTCTGCCTTTATCCTCTGAATTTGAAGCGCAGCTGCTTTGCACGCCATAGAATAGTGCTGCGCGGCAGCTGCTGAAGTGACCAGGAGAGTGCAGGCTTGCAGAAGGCAAGTTAGAACGCCTCTGCACTGGCGCAAAGTGCACGTTTGGCACGCGCACACATGCAAAGTGTGTGTACGCGCTCAAAGCCATGCCCACCGAACCAGTGGCAAAAATATTTCAATCCCACCACAGAAGTGGACCCATTATTGCAGATTAGTGAAGTATTCCACCGGAAAGTCATCTTGTTTTAGGATCATGGTATCCTCCAATCTGGAAGGAAATTGTAATCACACTTGATCTTCATCTCCAAAAAGAAGCTGTCATTTAAACTTCTGTGAAAGATGATGACTTCATAGCATTTCCTGATGCTTTTTTTAATCATAAAAAATAGCTCGAGTATTTGACTTGTATTTCTTTTTTTCCCTCAGCCCCAGACGAAGCTCCCACCATTTTGTCAGTGACACCACACACCACTACATCTGTGTTGATCCGCTGGCAGGTAGAGTCGCCTATGCTTTCATTCATTTCCACATTTTAACTCCGAATAAAAGAATCAGAATGTTCAAGGAGTCCCACATTTTAAAGAAATGTTTTTTTCTTTCTTATACTATACTGTATGATCTTTGGTACGGTGCTCTAAGCTTGTTTTCCAGAAGTTCCAGTTATGCAACCTTATACAAATAAATCTGAACAAAGATGTCAGGACTGCAACTTATTTTGATTAAGCAAAATAATAGTTCCTCATTTACTCGCACCTAACTTTATTACTTAAGCTGGTAACTAATACAAAGAAAGGTTCTGTGTTCGTAGTAGGGTAGTTGACTTTGCTATTGAAACACAAAACACCATAAATGGATCTTGTGCCCCAGGATTGATGGGAAAGGACAATCCTTTTTTGCGGTGTATAGAGAACTCTAGTTGGCATGCATATAGTGGGGGGAGACAGAGAACCAGTAACATAAAGACATTGAGAGTAGAATTATGAAAAACAACTTGTGGAATGTAGGCTTGAGGTCAGGAGAAAACTGGAGGGATTCATAATGGATAGTGAGATTATTTCGACTCATTGATCCTTAGTTTTGAGGCATCTTCTGCCTATATTTCTGGATTCCATCCTGCTAGCAGGGACTGCATGAAAGTACAAAAGCATCCCCCAGAAATGTCACATTTGGAGATATTGCAGTGGGTACTCTGTACTTCCAGGAGTCACTTTTGCATTCACTGTGTCTTCTTATACAGGCCCCATCTGAGGACAAAATCAATGGCATCTTGCTAGGCTTCCGCATCCGATATCGGGAGCTGCCATATGAAGGGGTACGAGGATTTATTGCCCGTAGTGTGGGCAGTCCCAATGCCAGGTGGACAGAGTTGACCCGTAAGTCTACAGAGGGAGAATGTACGAATTAATGACAATCAGAATGTAGTTTGCTCACCAGATCTCGGTCCTGCTGCTGTACTGATTGCCTTTAAATGAGTTTGCAATATCATTCCCAAGCAAGCTGTTCATAAGACCTGGTCCTAAAGATTGCCCAAAACACTTTCTACAATGATATGGCTTCTAGTCAGCACAGTACAACTCCTCCAATGCTAATAAATCCAGAAACTGTCCTAGAGCAATACATGATTGAACTTTGTGCTGAAAATGCTAACTCCAGCAAAAAATCCAGTATACACATCCCAATTCCAAAACAGTACTGTCCAGGATTCCTCTTTCTAATCCATCAGTCTGAAACAATCTCTTTTTCAAGCAAACTTAAAATACATCATAAAACACTGCTTTGAAAATTGGGAAACCTATTCTCCCAGGTTCACATACAACATATAATCATGTATGTATCATACTGGTTAATAAAACAGCTATGTAAAAAGAAGTGCAAGACGTTATAGATCAGACATTCCAGTGACATACTAATGCAAATATACCCAGGCACTCTATTATAAATTTACAAAAATGCACAAGCAGAAACACTCAGTATAAAAACTTCCCCTGAAGAGAATATCTGGAGCAGTTATGGCCTTTTGTTGCATCAGAGCATTGTTGTATTGGGTCCTCTTGGGGTTGCAAGCTTTGTGTCAGTGTATCAGTCCTTAGCAGCTCAAGGTCTTGGTTGCCAGAAGAGGCTTTTATGGAGTACTAAATGATGGGGTGTGTATATCCTATCTATCCTAATGCCTATAATAGGGAAATTGTGTTTGTCTTGTGAAACTTTATCATCCCTCCCTTTCTACCTATTCATCACCTTTCCCTCCCTTCCCCCTCTCCTCTCCCCCTCCCCACCCTCTCACGAGACCCCTCAAATTCCTTTGCTTGGACTGGGAATTTCCCCGAGCTGCTTTCTTTCTTGCACAATAATGATGTTGCTTTGTTTAGCTTGTGTTGTCCAGATGTTTCTTTCCATGTAGCTAACCTTGCACTGCTTTCCCCTTCTGACCCCCTGCCATCCCACAGCAACATACGCCATGCAGAACCTGAGCGAGGCTTCCCTGACACAATACGAGCTGGACAGTAAGTGGGAGCTCCCTCCTTGGCCTGTACTCCTGTCTCTGCTTGTGTCTCTGGGATCGTGTGTGCGTGAAGCAACCCTTTCTTGCTCACCACAGGATTGCTGGGGATGATGCAAATTGCAGTCGGCATGTCTGGAAGAGAAGCATTAGGGCCATGTTTCTCTAAAGGTAGCGGTAGTAGGTGTGGCTTACAATTAACTCTATTTTCTTGAGAATACTACAAGAAATAACCATAACCAAACCCATTTTGAGAACTCCATTCAAGTAACGGGACAAATGTAGGTCACACTGATCAATAGCTTTTAATAGCGTATCCAGGAAAGTGGATTTCCAATTCACCTCCGTATCGTAATTGTAGTAGGATGAAATGGAGAAATAATAGAAAGGAAAGCAACCTCCTCTTTGGGGTATTGAAAAAAGGGATGAGGAAATGAGGTCCAGGGATCGTGAAAATGAATGGAGGTAATAGGAAGTGCCCTGGGAATAATTTAAGTTCTATTTCTATTGTTTAAAATAGCACTTTTACACACAGCTATAATTAAAAGCTTTTCCCCCCCTTTAAAGTTCATATATTAGAAACCATGCAGTAAAACTAGAGATCTTATTCTTGCTTTATTTGGTGTCTGCTTACTTTTTTTTTAGTCAGAAACAATATTCTGCCTCTATTTTCCAATCTAAAGAAATTGGACAGAAAGTAGGACATGCCATTGTAGCCAGGTTCTCAAGCAAGGAATAGCGGGAGGAAAATGAGAGGAGGCTAACCAGAAAGTATGTGTTGCTACTATGGAGGTAGCCCAAGTGAGCTCTCCTCCCTGCTCCCTAAATGATCACTGATTTTCTCCATCTTTGCAGATCTGAACAAACACCGTCGCTACGAGATCCGCATGAGCGTGTACAATGCTGTGGGTGAAGGGCCCACCAGTTCCCCCCAAGAGGTCTTTGTTGGTGAGGCTGGTAAGTTGAGCAAGCATGCTTTGTAAGGGTATTTCTACTTTGGGTCTCCGTGTCATGTTTTTACCTGCCCATCTGAGTTATGCAGGATTAGCTCAGGGTTAAATCATAGATCTTTTGGATAGGGTTAGCCGTGATGGCACAGTGGTTAGAATAGTGGTTAGAATAGTATTGCAGGCTAACTCACTGCTCACCCTAGGAGTTCTATTCTGACCGGCTCAAGGTTGACTCAGCCTTCTATCCTTCTGAGGCTGATAAAATGAGGGCCCAGATTGTTGGGGGCAATATGCTCAATCTGTAAACCGCTTAATGAGGGCTGTAAAGCACTGTGAAGCGGTATATAAGTCTAAGTGCTATTGCTACTGCTATCTGGGTCAGCTAGGGAAACTATTAGAATTGACCAGTAACAAGCAAAAGATCCATTCTTTCATCAATAAAGACAACGCTGCCAGGAGGATACCAGTAGGCCGGGATCCCGAGAAGAGCAAGTCCATGGCCAAAGCATGGTATTTGTTTGTATGAGGCATGTATCTGTTTCTCGGTCTAGTGCATTCCTGACTTTCATTCTCTTTGCTTTCTTCAGTCCCTACAGCTGCACCACAAACTGTAGTCATCCAAAGCATCACAGCTACCCAACTTGACATTACTTGGGAGCCACCACCTCCTGAGACACAGAACGGAGACATCCAAGGCTACAAGGTACTGATAAAGGAGAAATATTTCTAACTCAGGGTTGACATGAGGGGTCCTTGGTGCTCTCTGAGCTTGGTTGTTTTTTTGCAGATGTTTCATTACCCAAACTAGGTAACATCATCAGTGCACTGCAATGCCAGGAAACAACCAAGCTCAGAGAGCACCAGGGACCCCTCAAGGCTACAAGATAACCACACAATGGAGGGGAGGGGAAGATCTTTCCTGCAGGTGGATTGGTGGTCTTTTGACTTTGAAAAATGTTTAAAAATGGAAGCCAAAACCCTATGCCTGGTACAAATTGGGAAAACAGACTTACAGCTGTGGCTGTTTCTTCTGCCGTTATTACACAAATACATCACAGCATATTCTTCTTTGTTGCTCTATTGCTAATCTTTTAGGAAAGCTTGCATTAATGAAGATTAGTGTCCAGCGTCAGGCTAGATGGCACCACAGGAAGTTTTATGGCACACTGGAAATTAGCATGTTCATTAATCCATAACATTTCACAAACTAATGTCTGCTGGATATTAGAATTGCGTAGAATTACCCAGAGTTATAGGTAGATACACTGATGGGCGGGTGGATAGAAATCAGTGTGAAATAAAATATTGGGAAATACAATGATCATTACAGTATTACCTATGGTCATTCATAAAAAAGTAATTGGCAATAACACAGACATCCTGGAGATAACAAGTTAATTATTTAGTCCTTAAGGTAACAAGTACTATCATTTGTTTTTGCTGATAGAGATTAATCTGAGAGTCTCTTTGTAGAATCAAATATTTTTTCAGGATGTTACAGTTCCCCCTAGTTCTTTTTAAAGTCAGGTGTTATTCTGTCTGTTTTTGTTTTGTTTTAATAATAGGGCATATTTTCAAAGAACACAGCCCAATCTCTTTCATTATCATGGTGGTGTCACTTCTTTATTTCCATTTTCTAAACCTAATCCAAACCCTAAAAAATATTCCATAATATTATCAAAATTGGTTGCACTATTTTGGGTGCCAGGGTACTACAACTGGTTTGAACAGTGTTTCTTAACATCGGCCATTTCAGAGATGTGGACTTCAACTCCTAGAATTCCCCTGCCAGCACCACCCAAGGAATTCTGGGAGCTGAAGTCCACACACCTTAAAGTGGTCAAGGTTGAGAAACACTGGTATAACCAGTGTAGTACCCCGACACCCAAAATTATGCAACCATCTGAAGTTATATGCTTGGTTCCAAGCACCTCATTTTGAGAAAAAATAATGAATGAAATTAATATAAAGAGAAGCAACAAAGATGATTGGGGATGGAAACATACAAGGAGAAACTGAGGAAATTGGGTTGGGCTTGATAGAACATTAAAAGTACTTAAAAGGATGTCACACAGAGGAACAAGACCTAGTTTCTATCATTCCAGAAAGCAGAACATTTAGTAATAATCTTAAATTATGGGAAAGTAGTCTACAGTTGAGTGTTATTGGGGAGAGGGAAATCTGAAGGAAACAGTTCAATAATGGAACCAACTACTATCCGAGGTAATGGTCTTCCTTCACTGGATGTGTTTATACAGGAATGTTCAGGGATTCTTTAATAAGGAAGTCTGCACCAAACGTAATGGTTTCTTTCCACCCTGATAATTTAACAACCGGTTTGCCCATAGTCATGGGAGGCATGGGCCAACCTGACCCTGGGCGAACAAGTTGTTAAATTATCTACCACCACCACCCACTGTCAAAGTGGATCCTGGGTGCTGCACTGCAATGGAGAAACGGGCAACAGAGCGACCTGCATAAGGAAAGGAAGAGGAGCAGGGAGAAAGAGGGAAAGCGACCTTCGCCTTCCCTCATGCCAGCCACTCCGTTGCCCGTTTCTCCATTGCAGCGCAGCACAGCACCCAGGATCCACTTTGATAGTTAATTTAACAACCAGTTTGCTTGAACCAGTGTGAACCAGCTGAATCCCACCATTGCTGAGATTGAAATGGGGCATTGGGAGCCACATGCAGTCTATGTATTAACAATTAATGTAGTGTAGCAATTAAGACATCAGAGTGGAAGACAGGAGACCCAATTCTAGTCCAGCTCAACCACAGAAGCGCAACTAGATGGGTTCAGTTGCTGCTTCTTGCTCAGTCCAATCAACCCCCAAAGGGCTTTGGTGGAGAAAAATAAGTGGGAAGATCACTATGTATACAACTTTATGTTGTTGAAGGAATGGCAGAACATAAATAAATAATATATGTATGTATGTATGTATGTATGTATGTATGTATGTATGTATGTATGTATGTATGTATATCACAGCTTGCCCCACCTCTATTTCATAATGTGAGCAAGTCTGAGACAGCCCCGCAGCTAGAGTGCAAATGAACAAAAGAAAAAAAGAAAAAAAACACAGTTCCACCTTTTTACCTGTAAGCGATGCTGTTGAGTTACAAATAGAACACTGGGGCTTTGTGCCCATCATCAGGGATGTTTTTGCTCCTGAGGGAATTTTCATTCTTGTTTCGGTTTATATCCAAAAAGGAATAGAGGACAGCCTTTCCAGCTCACATAGTATAGGCATCATTGTTTTATAAAGCTTCCTGAAAAATATTAGTGCATTCCTAATATTTGGGACTAGCTCAAATAATTCTAAAGCTAACAGGGCAAGGCGTCTGTATATTATTTGTTTACTTGTTTGCTTAACTTGTATTCTGCCCAAATCTGGGCAGCTCACAATAATCTAAGAAATAAATAATAAAGTTGATTAAAACAAAGATAAAAGATAGTAAGGGCAATGAAGCGAGTGGTGTCACTCTCCCTCACCAAAGGCCTGATGAAATGTATTTTATTTTAATAGTCACCAAAACCAATATGTTTAACCATTATAATTAGTCGTATAACATAACAATGGAATGCAATGGAATAATCCCTATGCTATAATAGTTATAACAGCCCCTATATAAAATATTATATAATTAAGTATTATAGTATAGTATATTTTTGGGATTAAATGCATACACCAGAGTTCCCCAACTTCACAGCTTTGCAGACCAGTGGGGAAAGGGGAGAGTGATATGGTTCTGCAGAAGTGACTGGCAAGTGTGTGCGCAGCTCATGCAAGTGGAGATGCACGCATGTGTGTGCGCACTCACCCGCCACTTCCACGGCCTGGTTTCAAATGTCTCACGGTTCAGTAATGGCCACCACGGTTCAGTAGGGGACCCCCGGCCTGCACAACTGCAGGAATTTAACTAAGAAAAGGAATTGTAGACAGATATGTACTCCAGAAAACATATTGGTTTTATAACCTTATTATATGCTATTCAAGCTCTGATAAAAAATGGCCTTCTTTCAAAGCAATGTCTGGCATTCTCCTCAGTTGCTGAAAGGCCACCTTGATCTATTATCTCAAGTTGGGCAGTTGAAAGTACATTATGGAGCCAGAAGTGTTCTCTTGCCAATCTTAGATAAGTATCATCTGGCTTCATATGTCCAATCAGGGAACAAAGGGACAGTTTAGAAGTGACCTTTGAGGAAAGTTGCTTTCTTGTTTCCTAAGAAACTGCAAGGGTGCCAAGTGGTGTTGCCATGGAAACTGTTTGTTGCCGTCTCTTTGGTACCATGACTTCATGGAAGGTCCAGTTTCTCTGTGGAAATCTGGATATCATCCAAAAATGACTTCAGAATTGCACTGAGTATCATTCTGTTCACCCCATAAATCAAGACTAAGAATAAATTACTTGCATAGTTTTGCCTAGTGGAAGAATGAATAATCTTAATCTTTATATTTTCCAGTAATAAAAGGAACACACCTACCATTAATGAGATCCTCTGCTATAAAATATATTTCAATTTAATTTAATTTGTCCCAAGTTCTCTGGGGTCATTTTTTTATTTAAAAAAAATAAGTAAAAGATTTCCCCTATATAGCCCTGTCCGACTCTAGAGGATGGTGCTAATCTCAATTTCCTAGCTGAGGAAGCCAGCACTGTGTGAAGATGTTTCCATTATCATGGCTATATGGCAGAGGCTCATGGAATGCTGCTACCTTCCCACTGAAGTGGTACCTATTTATCTACTTGCATATGCATGCTTTCAAATTGATAGGTTGGCAGTAGCTGGGGCAAGAAGGGGAACTCACACTCAGGGCTTAAACTGCAAACCTTCTGGTCAACAAGTCCAGTGTCTTAACTACTAAGCCACCTTACCTGCTTAAATTTTTTTGGAACAGTGTGATAGTTAACAATTAAAAAAAAACATGTTTAGAGATTCATGTTACACATCTCTTTTTTGTGAGTGTCCTTTTCTTATTATCATTTTGCTCTTCATAATTAAAACAAAATCCCATAAACTTTGGGAGATTACTGCAGGATCTCTTTTTCTTGCTGATACTACTAAAACTTTCTTTGTTTTAGATTTTTTTTCTCCTTTATTTCTTTGTCTCTGAGTCCATCATTATGAGCAACGCGGGGAAGATGTAGGATGGTGCAGTCACATTAAAATAAACAAAGTCACGCTACTAAAGAACTTAAAATGGTTTACGAACAGGTTCACTTCATAGTACTGCACAGCTACAGCTTGTTAATATTTGCCTTTCCTGACACTGGATGTATTCCTAATTCTGTCCCTCTGATGAATGAAGATTTTCCTACAGTGAGACTCTTAGCTTCCATGAGACCTGTTCTTGCATCCATGCCTCCCAAATCCTTCTCTCCTCAGTTCCCTCCTCCCTCTAGAACAGGGACGTCAAACTCATGTCGTCACAGCAGCATCATGTGACATATCGGGACTTTTCCCCTCCTTCGCTAAACTGGGCATGGGTGTGGCCAGCACATGATGCATCCGGCCTGTAGGCCGGGAATTTGACAGCCCTGCTCTAGAAAATAATCTGGGAGGAGGCACTCAGTGTTGCCATGCTTTGATTAGCAGTTCCACGATTCAAGTATCAAGGCATTTACCCCACCCCCCTACATTAAGGAAAAGAGAAAGGGAAACTCTATCAAGTTCCAACCTTAGACAGATGTCTATCTTGAAGGAAAGGAGAGGTAATGCTTGTATAATTTATTACCTGTGTTTTTATAAGGCAGAAATCTCAGCATTTTTGAATTCTTCAAGTAACTAGGCAGTTATTAAATGGGCTATTCCTTTTTCAGTTTCTCAGTGTGCTGTGGTGGCTACATGGCAGCACCTAGCTAGCCATAGCTAGTCTCAAAACACTAGGCAGGGTCAAATCCTAGGCAGGGTCCAATCTGATTAGTATTTTTATGGGAGACCACTAGGAAATTTCATGGATATAGACTAGACTGGAAAATTGCAGAAGATCCTAGAAGACAATGTAGTCACCAGGAATCAAGGTTGAGTTAAGGGAGACTTAATTATTTCTCTTGAAGTATCACTTCATTATCTCTTAATGTATTACCTTGTTATTGGGTAATTATACTTTACCAATTCAACGACACAGTCAAAGAGCTTCTTTTTAAAGAGTCAATTAAATGCAACTGTATCTGTGAGATGATATTGAAAAATCCAAATGTGAGGCTTAGGATAATTGGAGGGTGATATATAAAGAGATGCAACTCTGAAAGAAAAGACATGATGCATAACCACTAGAATGAAAATGTGTTAGTTTAGGAAATTTTGACTTTTTCATGTCCACATTTTGGAATGGAAGAGTAGGCTCATGTGCCAAAACCAAAGAGAGAAGTAAATGTCTTTATTTCATCCTCTTGTTTCTTTATTTGCTCTGGTACGTTTTCCTTCTATATCCTCTGATTGCATTTGATTTCCCCTGTTCCACAGATTTATTTCTGGGAAGCTCAGCGGCAGAATGAAACTGAAAGGGTAAAAACACTCTTCTTACCAGAGAGTGGTGTTAAACTGAAGAACCTGACGGGCTACACTTCCTACCTCATCTCCGTCCTTGCCTTCAATGCTGCAGGTGATGGCCCTCGCAGTATCCCTATCAAGGGCAGGACCCAGCAAGCAGGTAGGTTACATATCACTGGCCAGTAGGCATTTAGATGTGGGGGAGAGACTCTGCATGAATTAGCAAAAGCTTTGCTAAAGTGGACAGATGCCCAGATAATGTTCAGATAATGTTCAATCACTGTAGGAGAAAGAGTGACAGAACCTGGGGGCAGAGTTAAAAGAGGGATCAACCTAGAACCCCTAGGTAGCCACAAGCTAGCTAAGTTCAACCTCCCTTGAAATATCTACATATTTAACATAATATGATATTACATATAATATAAAAATACCTTGAAAATATATACAGACCCCTCACATTCTGGACATAAATTGTTTCAACTTCTACTCTCAAAATGACACAGTAGGGCACTGCACGCCAGAACAATTAGACATAAGGACACTTTTTTCCCAAATGCCATCACTCTGCTAAACAACTAATTCCCACAACACTGTCAAATTAATTACTAAGGCTATTACTATTACTATTCTTCTTCTCATCCTTACTAGTACCTATCTCTTCCTACTTATGACTATAATTGTGCTGCTTGTATCTTTACAATTTATATTGTTTTGTTTTCCTAGAATGTTTTGATTGCTTATAGTAACATATGACTATCACTAAGTGGTGTATCTTATGATTCTTGATGAATGTAGTGTTTTTTTTTCTTATGGACACTGAGAGCATATGCACCAAAGACGAATTTCTTGTGTGTCTAATCACACTTGGCCAATAAAGAATTCTGTTCTATTCTATTCTATTCTATTCTATTCTATTCTATTCTATTCTATTCTATT